TTCCTCTCTTTTCCGCACTTCCGCCTGATGAAAATGGAGATAACTAAAGGATGAATCGAACATCCTTATACAATAAAAAAGACTAGAGAAAGGTATTTGTTTTCTCACAAAAGAGAGAGAGAGAGAGAGAGAGAGAGAGAGAAGGTTTTGCTTTGAGTCTGATTCGATGTTTTCAGTTTAACAGTTTTTCATTTTTCACATATTGACATTGCCATGCCAAGGTTAAGACAAGATACATAATTTTATTGGACCCGAGCAACCAAAACACTGCCATAAATTAGCAGCTGCCTTCAAAACCCAGCCTTGAATGAACACAAGGAAAAGCAAGCCCGGGAACGAGATTGTGTTCGGATGGGGGAGTATCTGGCTTATTGCCTTACCTACTAAAATTAAAATTAGAAGTAACGCATCCGGCTAAAATGGAATTATAGGTTTAAATGAGGTGATACAGGTAACATAATAAAATTGAAACATGAAATCAAAAAAGGAAGAAAAGGGTGACGAGATTGTTATCATAGACATTAAATCAATTTTCATCCCTGGTGCTAAGAAAAAGAAATTGAGGCCAAGTAGAAAGGTGTGATGCACAAGCCGCAACTCCAAAACATGTGCTTTACAGGGTTGCCTCAACTCATACCAAGGCACAAAGCATGCTTAGACTCATTTTAAAACCCTACTTAAAACCAAAATAAGATAAATAATTAATAAAGTAGAAAAGAAGAATACCATCTCCTTATCAATTCGCTTCCAAAAGAGCAACATGTCTCTAGCTAATTTCCTTGTTCGAATAGCAGCACCCCTCATCATTTTAAGAGATCTGCTGACCTTCATTTTCACCTGCTTAAGATAAAAAACACCATGTTGAAGAAACCACACTACAACATTCCAGATAAAGTACATAATTAGAAGCTAAAGTTTAACCAAATTCCCTAACTCTGAAAAGAAATAAATAATACATGCCTCCCTTTGGCAAGTTTCTGAGAACCTCTTGGCATCAATTAGCTGCTTCCGATGAAAGGCTGTGAAGTTACGATGATGTTTTGGCAAGTCTCTCCTAACAATGTTGATCCAGATTTTCCCAATCTTCTCCATTTCCTCTCTCTCTATGACAGAAGGGTCTTTGATTACTTTTTGTTTCTTGGGCAGGCTTCGTTCAATAATCTGCAGCACAAAATGTGTGGAATAAACATTTGATCCTTCCCGAATATGAAAATGAATAACCCAAATAAAAGCAATGTGAAAATTGAGAACGTAATATCACAGATTATAAACCTCGTAAGTGTCTCCCTTCTCCAAAACCTTAACATAATATATCTGTAGCACACCACCATCAGATAAAATAGCTCGCTTAATACTTCCAGCAGCCCCCTCGGGGATGGATGAATTCAGCCCAACGTCAGATACTTTGAGACTGAATTTCTGTGGCGAGTTTGAAAATGCCAAGGCATCTAATCTTGCCTGAAGCGACTCGTACTGGGGCTGAGGGTCCCCCATCCCCGTCTGGCTTCGGGTTCCAAATCTTTTGTCATCAGCAATCATCGATGCTAAGGATCCCAAATCCAATGTACCCTCTAAGTAAACTTCCTCTACTTGGATGTCAGAGAAGCTTGGCAAGTTCAGTGAAGCAGCCAGCTTATCATAAGTTGGGGGAATTTTGTAAGTGATGCCGTCCCCAATATCCAAATATGCAGGCTCATATATTACTCTGAAAAAGTAGAAAGATCTTAAAATGATGTCCACAACTAAAAGACTTCTCAGACTTAAAGATAATCATTTAAAGAAGAAAACCTGTCAGTGGTACGCAGCCGAGCAAGACCTGCCTCATGATGACTTCCTGGTCTATGAGGATTATAATCATTAAGGCAGTCATTTGCAGTTTCCACTTCAAGAAATCCTCCTTGTTGCTCACTCCCCGACCTCCTAGCTCTTGAACTTGAGTTGCCCTTGGGCACTGAATTCCCAATGCGTGTGGGCATGGGAGATGAGGAGTCTTTAGACCTTCGCTTATACTTCTTAATGTGTTCTCCAAGCATTTGTCGATACCGCTCTTCAGTAACGTGCGTCCCGTAGTAATCGTCCACACTGTCGTTGTCCTCCTCACTGTTCAGGGACTGCCTTCTTTTCCTTGCCAAGCTCAACTCTCTCTTAGTCATGGTACCATTACCGTGTTTTGCAATTGTTCTACCTGATATACATTCACCATCAGTACACATCCCCTCAAAACATATATCTATAACGATAATTTTCAATTTTGGGTAAGTTTGCAAGGCACATATCAGATATCACAGAGTCGATCAGAGAAACATGTACCTGGACTACCTCTGCTTTCATCCTGACTACTATTCGCATAATAATCAAAACCATCCTCCGGTTGCGGAAGTTGAAAGTTCAGCAGCGGCTGCATCAGAGCCCAAGATTAACAAAAGGAAACTAGAAATTCTAGAACAGAAGTACCTCATTCGACCAAAACCTACATTAAAAAACCCACAAAAGAAAGCAACTAAACAAGCAGCACACGAACATCAAACACAAAATCCCAAAAACTGAAAAATTAAAAACAGCCATAGAACCCACAGCAATTTAGAACAAGCCACACATAATACAACGATTACCAGAACAAAAGGGGGAAAAAAGATAACATTGCGAAAAACAAAAAAAAAGGTAGATGGTAAACCTCGAGATTGAAGAGGTTGGAGTAGAACAAATCCTTGGATTGCCTGTTACGGTCCATGTGAAAAGAGGCAACAAGGAAGCGAGTGAGGACCAGATAAACAGGACGCAGAATCTGCGAAGTGCATCGGGAGGATGGGAGAGAAGAGAGAGAGAGAGAGAGAGAGTGGAAACCCTAACCCTAGAAGAGAACCGGGATTTTGGGAATTGGGAATGGGGACGACGACGCAGTGTTGAGAAGTGCGGCGCAGGATAAGGAAGGCGAAGAAGGAGATGCGTCCATGTGTGCTAACGTGCGCCGGCTGCAAACATTCGTGTTTAAAAACGTTCCTCGCCGCCGTGGCGCCGTGGTAACGGCCAGTCTATATATCTATTCATTTTCAAAATTTTAATTAAAATTTAAGACTTAATTTGAGTATATATTTTTAAATAATTAAAAATTATTTTTAAGAGTGGTCGAACAATAAATAATAAAATAATTGTCATGAAATTAAATAAATATATGTCGTAAGAAAAAAATATATTTTTAAAAATTAACCCTTCGATTCAATCTAATCTAATGATAACCGAACTTATCAATTAACTTATCTCATAAAATTTTCATTTATTTGAACTGACTTCGATTCAAATAAGTTTATAATCCAATTCAATCAGTACCTTTCAGATTGGGTCGATGGGGTTCTTCAAATTATCGAGTTTTTTAAATATTCTCGTTAATTATTTGTAAATTTTAGTATTGTGCAAATTAAAAATTTTAAACTTTAAAAATGTTTAATAAATAAGAGGATATTTTGTCTTTAATATACTTAATTAATTAATCTTGGTTTATCAAAATTAATGTAACTAATAATCTAATTTATTTTATTAAATAATAAATTACTTGTTTACTATAATTATTAATTCACTAGCTAAAATAATTATAATTAATTATTTGTAATCAGGAAATATTTTTATTGACTTAAATTATTGATACTAATTTAGAGGATTCAAATTAAAGTTGTAATTAATAATAAACTGTAATTAATTAAATTCCTTATTTATTTATTTATTATTGTTTTATTAATAACTTAGGATAGTTTTATAATATTTATAAATATATCTCATCTAAAATAAATTAATTTGACTTTTAAAATATAACATAATTTATAATTAAATTTTTAATGTGATTATTATGCTAATTATTTATACTTATAATTTATAATTTATAATTTTACTAAAATTATTTATTTTAACGTGATCATTATCAAAATTTTCTACTTAATTTAAAGTCGTCATTGTATACATATCATGAATATTGAATACGGAAATACTTCATTTAAACTTTCATAAAACATTACCTTCGTCTTAAAACACAGTTATGGACTCATGTATTTTGAAAACACCTCTAAAACGACACAACAAAAAACTAAATAAAATAAATAAACGTTTAAATTAAAAGCATTATATTTTAGCGCAAGTCTAAGAAAATAAATGCGACTACCATATGCATGTGTCATGGTCTTGAGTTGCGATGTTATTGTCAGTCGTACAAGAATATTTTGCCTTAACTTGAAATAGAAGTAGCAAGTCATCTTAACCTCAACCTAGTCGACCTTGGCTGAGACCAGCCATTGAGCTTGGTTCTTCCCAACACCACAATGGGTCTTGAGCTCAGTTATTCGATCCCAGGTCGGTCATCCTTGGGCTTATATGTGTGAAAATATAAACATCTACGAATACTACTACGAAATGAATGAATTTCTAAAATTTTTATCATAAGTTTGGTCCGTTACGTATCACCACCAGCCTCGCAGATTCAAAATGCATCTAATAGAGAAAGGTTTTCATACACTTATAAGAAATGTTTCGTTTCCATTTCCAATCGATGTACGTTCTAACAGTCCACCCCCGGGGGCCAACGTCCTTGCTGACACACTGTCCGATGTCTAGTTCTGATACAATTTATAGAACCCCAAGCTTATCGCCCGTAGATATTATTCATTTTTTTTTGCTACAATTATAAAATGAATAAAATATATAAAAAGAAAAATAATTTATTATAATTTGTAATATATAAATGAACCTCTTTTAATAACACTAAAGTCATTTATTACCGTTGATTTCATTTTTAAGTTTGAATTTCTTCAAACTAAATCTTTTTATTTTATTTTTTATTATTTAAAAATAATTTAAAGCTAGGTTTTAGGTCATATTTGCCCATTAAATTTTTTTTAATTATTATCTCTTAAAATTAAATAATTTTAATTAAAATCACGTATTAACAAATAAGATTATATAAACCTTCCACCAGAAATTTTTTTCAGATCACATTATTCATTGGGATCAGTAATTTCATTTTTTTTTTTTTTTTTGCTTAATCGGAAAATGTCAGGTTACCGAAATCAACCTTCCGGTTACGGTTATGGTTACGGCGGTGGCGGTGGTGGTGGTGGTTACGGAGCTCCACCGCCGACGTCTCAGCCGTACAGTTCTCCACCCTACGGCTCGCAACATCCTCCGCCACAGTCACAGCAGCCGTACGCTCCGGTGGCCGCGCAATATGGCGCACCGTCGGCACCGTATGGATCATCTCCGGGCGAAAAGCCGCCGAAGGACAAGCCTAATCAGTCTTACGGCGGATCAGCCAGCGGTGGTCATGGTTATCCACCGCCTTCTGCGTATGGAAGCCCATTCGCCTCACTCATGCCCTCCGCCTTTCCGCCTGGGACTGATCCGAGCATCGTTGCGTGTTTTCAAGTAGCCGATCGGGATAGGAGTGGGTTTATTGATGATAAGGAGTTGCAAGGTGTTCTGTCATCGTATAATCAGAAGTTTAGCATGAGAACTGTTCACCTCCTCATGTTTCATTTCACCAACACAAGCACCAGGAAGATCGGTAATCTCTCTGCTCCCTCTATCTCCTTTTTGTTTGCCCTGGCAACAATAGAATTTCATGTGGCTATGAAAACAAGGAAGAGAGAACCTGTAGGAATCTGGAGGGCCCAGATAGAGAAAAAAGACAAACAGTTAGGCCAGTGGGGCAGGGGAGGCCCTTATCGGGGAATCTACTATTAGTTTAACCTAATTTGAACATAATCTGATAGAGATCAATCTCTGTTTATAAATTGAACGCTTCATTGTCAAAACTTTCGAGGTGAATTTCATATAATTGCATAGAATTGTCATTTTCCTTCTTAGTGATTTGATTGTTTCTTATTATGGTTAGTTGATCTGTTCATGTTAGGAATTACGACTTTCTATAATGATACGATATTGTCCACTTTGAGCACAAACTCTCAACTTTACTTTTGGTTTCCTCAAAAGGCCTTAGAGTGTTCTTACTTATAAACCCATGATCTTCCTCCTAATTAGCCAATGTGAGACTACTCCTGTCAATAATTCTCAACAATCCTCTCCTCGAACAAAGCACATCACAGAGCCTCCCCTGAGGCCTATGGAGCCCTCAGATAGTCTCCCCTTAATCGAAGCTCGACTCCTTTCTTTGGAACCCCTTTTGTTCGACACTTGAGTCATTTTTTACTATACCTTCGAGACTCACAACTTCTTTGTTCGACATTTGAGGATTCTATTGACATGACTAAGTTAAGAGCATGACTCTGACACTCCACAATGTATGATATTGTCCACTTTGAGCATAAGCTCTCATGACCTTGCTTTTGGTTTCTCAAAAGGCCTCATACCAATTGAGATATTGTTCCTTACTTGTAAACCCACGATATTCCTCTTAATTAGCCAATGTAGGACTACTCCTTTCAATAATTCTCAACCGCTCCTAAGGTTCATAAATCATACCTATGAACATCATGAACACATTCTTTCTGTTACAAGGTAATCACTCCTCCATTTGAATTGGAGTGATGGTTAAATTGTCTGTTCTTAATCTGCTCGAATCATCTTATTATCATTATCATTAATTTTTTATGCATTTGGCCTTGAGTGACCCTCATCTGGAAATCCTGCTTTTTATCATTCTATTGATGTTGTCTTTTGCATTTCGTTTCTGAAAAACAGGACCCAAGGAGTTCATTGCTCTGTTTTATGGTCTTCTAAGCTGGAGGGTAAGCTGAAGATTTGATATCATTTCAGCCAACATTGTCTAACTGACTAACTATTTATTTGATCTTTTTCAGGGTATTTTTGAGAGATTTGATTCAGACCGAAGTGGAAAAATTGATTCCAGAGAGTTGAAAGAAGCACTTTTCAGTTTGGGCTTTTCTGTCTCACCAATGATCTTAGACTTGCTGGTGTCTAAGTTTGACAAAAGTGGTGGGAATAGCAAGGCCATTGAGTATGATAATTTTATAGAGTACGTTTGTCTTCCTTACTTTTTCTTTTTATAACTGGGAGTTGAAGCTTTGTTCCCACGTACCGGGAGGTCACCCACACCCGCCCCAAGGCCCGGACCCGGGAGACATCAAGGGTCTTTGGTATTAGTTTGTCTTCCTTACTCTTGATTTTACGTGGTACTCCTGATGAGAGTTTCTGAGTTACCCTTTAGTGTTGAGTTTTCACTTCACATTAATCACTGTTCTTATCAATTCTTTTTATTTTTGCAATTGCAGGTGTTGTCTTACAGTCAAGGTGAGCTTTTTTTATTCTATACTCTTTAAATGTGATGACATGATCTTTGAATCTGTGTATTTAGTCATGCATATTTGCTTAGTTGTCTTGATTTTGTTCCACTCATGTTGATGCCTATGAATACCCCGAATACTTTTGTAACAGCCCAAGTCCACCGCTAGCCGATATTGTCTGTTTCGGCCCGTTACATATTGCCGTCAACCTCATGATTTTAAAATGCGTCTACTAGGAAGAGGTTTTCACACCCTTATAAAGAATGCTTTGTTCCCCTCTCCAACATATGTGATATCTCACAATTCACTCTCTTTTGGGACCAGCATCCTCGTTGACACTCGTTCCCATCTCCAATCGATGTGGGATCTCACAATTCACCCCCCTTCGAGACTCAGTATCCTTGCTAGCACGCTGCTCGATGCCTAGCTTTGATACCATTTGTAGCAGCCTAAACCCACCACTAGCAATATCCGTTCGGCCCATGACGTATCGCCATTAGCCCCACGGTTTTAAAACGCGTCTGCTAGGGAGAGGTTTCTACACCCTTATAAACAATGTTTCGTTCCCCTCTCCAACCAATGTGGTATCTCATAATCCACCTCCCTTCGAGGCCAGCATCCTCGCTAACACTCGTTCCACTCTCCAATCAACGTAGGATCTCACAATCAATTACACCATTTGAACACCCATGGCTATCAAGTAGTTAATTACCATATAATTTCACTACGAGAAATTACTACTATCGTTTTTCGTTTTTCTCCTTTCATGTAACATGCAATGGTCTTTCACACACCGTTATTTTGAACTCCTCGAATGAACCGTTAACCCGATCCTTCCAAAACAAAGCCATTCGATCTTTGGGACTAAAACTCGAAGTGACCGTGATGTAAAAATTTACAGGGGCTGACCGAAAAATTCAAGGAAAAGGACACCATGTACTCTGGTTCAGCAACCTTCAGTTACGAGGCTTTCATGTTGACAGTCCTACCATTTCTCATTGCCTGAGGAGTTCTTCAGCCTTCGTTCCATCAGGTACGTTCATTTGGCTTTTCCTTCTGATTTCCATTGTGTTTGATAGAATATATTTATGCAGCCTTATCCTTATCCTATCCCATATTTCCAATTTCTCGTTTGACTGTAAAATTTAGGTCATTGTGTCATATATGATGTAATGTGCAACGATTCATTGGGCTAATGGTATTATTGAATACTCTTGCCCCTATGGGTATAAATGATTCTTGGGAATACATTATGTTCCAATAACTCTCCCCATAAACTTGGTATCACAACTCCTCGCCCGTTCTCATATTCAAATCTCCCGATTCGGCCACGGGAAATATAAAGCTAAGCTTAGTTGGCTTGAAGGAGAATATTTTTTAGGATGCATGTGTGTCGGGTCAAGATAAAAGGACTTTGTAATGACCTGAAATTTTTTACATATAATGAACATTGAATGCGGAGATACTTCTTTTAAACCTTCAGCTTAAAACACAGCCATGGACTTGCGTGTTTTGAAAACATCTTTAAAAACGACATAACAAAAGTCTAAATAAAATAAATAAACGTTTAAGTTAAAAACAACATATTCTAGCTTAAGTCTAAGAAAATAAATACGACTTCCCTATGTATGTGTCATGGTTTCGACGAGTTGTGATGTCGTCATCAGCCGTACAGGAATGTCTACCTGAAAAAATGTAGTAACACATGGTTTGAGTATTTAAAGACATACTCTGTAAGTGACGGGATATATCATTTCAATCCATTTCCTACGGTACTATCCTAACAGGTTACTTGGATGTGTACCATATACTCTACACACAGTTCATACGTGCGAGTATGGACTCACCAGTCAGTCTGCACATCGTTGGACCACTTTCCTTGTCGGACGAGCATACTCCTGGGAGCTCCTTAGGTCGGACACCCGTTAGAACTAGTAATTGTCATGACAACATTAGGTTAAACATAATGATTGTTCTCCTGCCTGACCGATAAACATAATGATTGTTTTTTGCTTGGTCATCGTAGCCTTATGATAACCATAATGATCGTTTTCCTGCCTCCTAATATATGCGGCCCGTACTATTATGAAGGGTAAGGGGTATTCCCTGATGCATGAACACACAATAATACATGAGGTCTCAACATTTTTCATTTCATTATCATTTAATACAACCTCGCTAGCGTTCTGTACATATCATATTGTCTTATATCATTTTACATATCGTTTATCATATCATTTATTATTTCTTTCATGCATACGTCGGGGTTGTATTACATAAATATCATATCATTCAAATTACATAAATGTGTCATATCATAACATTCTATGTTTTCAGACATAATAATTTTCATCATATTATACATAATAGACCATAACATATCGCATCACAATATATCATAAACATGTCAATTTATGACATATCTCCTACCCTAACATATTTCATATCATATCACTGTATATATATACTCATCTGCGCCTCACCCTAAGATGTGGATTAGCATGACGTACTTCTCCTATTTGAATCGGGGTTTGAAACCAAATTTCTCCTCAGGAGGATAGATGGGTCGATTCAGGTGAGATCCAATGTAAATCCAACTTTCTATTCACTCGTAGGATTCGGGCGGTCTAGGGGGACCACCTCGACTCTCTCTCTCTCTCTCTCTCTCTATTTTATATATATATATATATACATTCACATGTCTATCATAATCATATCACATCGTAAATATTTCGTGGTCATATCGTTCCCTAAGTTATCATAGTCTTAACATTCTTTTATACTTATCACAGTCATATCGTTACATGAACGTATTGTAGTGCTATCGTTCTATCAATCTATCATAATCCTATCATTTTCTACTCATAATCTAACCATATTCTTTTATCAATCGATCGTGAATATATCGTTTTTATCAATCTCTCATATTCATAGCACTTTGATACGTAACCTTATCTTAACGTTTCGTGAACATATTGTACTCCTATCATTACATTACGTTTAGTGCATCTTTCTTGTATCCTATCTCAAACATATCATTAAACATGTCGCACTTCATATAATTCACATATTATAATATATACATATCATAAGCATATCGATCCATAAATAATTCACACATATCAATATATATTATATATGACACGCGCAAAATCATGAGGCACGTGTCAACATCAAATATAATCATGCCAATAGCACGACCACTTACTTGATTAATTAACTTAGGTTGGTGTCACCAATTTATCGTTAATAAAAATTTGATTTTGTCATTTGCATCAAGTCAACCTATGTGAACCCATGACATCAATTTCAAGTTCAATTCTCTGTATTTTATAATGCTCCAGGGTTGGACTTCACGCAAGCTATATGTTATAATGCTCTAGGGTTGGACTTTACGTGGCATCAAAAACTATACAATTATTTTCATACCAACCATTTAATACCTTTAATATTTTCTAGATATTCTCTTTTGTATTACCGTGTTTTCCTCCCTTGGATTTTTTCTTCTTTTTTGTTATCGGTATCGTGGGTTTCTTTCTGTATTTAGTTGTTGTTTCTATTCTTTTTTTCTTTCCTTGAATTTTGTTAGCCTTCTTTCTGTATTTTCTTGATTTTATTAACCGTTATATTTTTTTGTTTTTAATTTAATCGCTTCATTTGACTATTCTTTTACTATAATTCATATAAAATCATTGACAACTCAAGTACGATGATGGGTGGTGTGTTTTAAATGGCTGGATGGATGTTCGAGGGTTGGATTATGCACCCATTATACGGAACGTATGTCATAAATGGTTGCATGGATACGAAAGAGTTCGATGTTCGGAATAACCCAAATAGATGTTCGAAGGTTTAGTATGGACACGAGAGAGTTCGATGCTCTCGACTTCGATTTAGCTATCTCATAGAGGAAATTAGTAATTAGTTAAAGCTAAACTCATGTAATGTACACATAGTCAAATACTTAACTTTGAGCACTGCACGTGAGCTAAACAACCCAAAATCGAGATAACGCCATAATTTTGATGTGATTTGCAAAAAAGAAAAACCCTAAATTCGAGGGGGAGAGAGTGGAGGAGGGATTTTGGGGCGCCTCGGGTTTTTTTTTTTTTATGCATTTATTTTTTTTAAAATAGATGCAATCATGAGCATTAAAAATACCCTGAAATTTTAGCTCAATGTAACGTTTCAAGTCCAAGCTCAATGTAACATAAGTCATCTCTAATCCCTTCACCGAAAAACTGTTGAGTTCGATGTCCGAAGCTCAACAAAAAACTGAAATACGTTAACGAATTCATAAAATAAAATAACGAACTCTAATCAAGTGCTAAGGAACTCAGGATTAGATCTCTCAAATTGATAGACGTTTGCTTCTTTTTATCCGCTTATCCTTTTACGAATTTAGGGATGATTAAACCTAGTAGGACACATAGTGACCTCCCATTGGTCGTGTGACACCGTTAGATTGTCATCTGACAACTCATTTAATGAATTTTTCTTCTCACGTGTGAGCCATTGTGCAAACTTTGCTCCATTGAATGCTCGGTCCATTTTCAGTGAATCTAGTTCTCTAAATCGAACGAATGAGACTTATTCTGTAAAAAAAATTAACGGGAGAGTTATCAATTCCCGACCCACCATTTAGATTTCTACTACACAATTTTCGACCTAATTCTTTGGACTTTCGACATATGACCTAGCTTGCAAAACTAGAATTACTCGATCAAAGGACCGTAATGAAGACGGGAATTGTCATTTTAAGGTCATTTAATTAATTAACAAAATTTGGGGATAATATTAATTTGTAGCAAGTTTCAAATTTAATAACATATAATGTTTTGTTTAATTTAATAATTAATATTTTTAAATTTAATTTTATAATAAATAATAATTTTTTATTTTGAAGCATTAAGGTGAGATAGGGCCAAAATGGTATTTTCGAAAAGTATAAGGGTAAAATTGTCATTTTAAGGTCATTTAATTAATTAAAAAAATTTGGGGACAATATTAATTTGTAGCAAGTTACAAAATTTATAATTTAATTAATATATAATGTTCTGTTTAATTTAATAATTAACATTTTTTAAAATAATTTTATAATAATAATAATTTATTTATTTTGAGGCATCAAGTGAGATAGGGGCAAAATGGTATTTTCGAAAAGTGTAAGGGTAAAATTGACATTAGCAAAAAGAATAATGGCTAAAACCTAAACGAACAGACAGACTTCTTTCTCCTGTGGCCGATTAGGGTTTTTATCCACCCTCCTTCTCGAAGCCATCTACTCTCTGAATCCTCAGTGTAATCAAGCACAAGCAACTCTACAATGGCGGATTACGATCTAACTCCACGAATTGCTCCGAATCTGGACCGCCATCTTGTTTTCCCTCTCCTTGAGTTTCTTCAAGAGAGGCAGCTTTACCCCGACGAGCAGATCCTCAAGGCCAAGATCGAACTTCTCAACAAAACCAATATGGTTGACTACGCCATGGACATCCATAAGTCGTTGTACCACACTGACGATGTTCCTCAAGGCATGGACAATTCTCGGTTTTGATTTCATTGCTTATTTGTTTCTTTTTTTTTTTTTTTTTTTTTTTTTTTTTTTTTGTTATTTTTTAAGTATTGATGTGTGTTGGGTCTAAATTTGTGATGGGATTGGCGCAGATATGGTGGACAGGAGGGCGGAAGTCGTGGGGAGGCTTAAAGCTTTGGAGGAGTCTGCTGCGCCACTTGTTACTTTTCTGCAGAATCCTGCTGCTGTTCAGGAATTGAGGGCTGATAAGCAGTACAATCTTCAAATGCTTAATGATCGTTATCAGGTTGAGTTTATGGTCTTAGATTTACATGTTCTTTATTTACCATAAACAACGCTAATCTCTTTGTTTGTGCTCGAGTTGGTTTGTTCTTTGGGGCATAGGGAGCATTGATGCTGATGTGCCATGATTTTGTTCAATTTCTTTGCTTCTTTTGTGTAAAATCCTTGTTATATTTGATTCAGTTGGGGTTTCTTTAATTTCCATCTAATATTGATAGCGATTATTGATTTTCTGTAAAACCCTAATTCCAGATTGGTCCTGATCAAATAGAAGTATTATATCAATATGCCATGATTCTTTACAATTTCTTTGCTCCTTTTGTGTAAAACTCTTATTATATTTGATTCAGTTGGGGTTTCTTTAATTTTCCATCTAATATTGTCAATGATTATTGATTTATCGTTTCGGGTTTCATAAAACCCTAATTCCAGATTGGTCCAGATCAAATAGAAGCTCTATATCAATATGCCAAATTTCAGTTCGAGTGCGGGAACTACTCTGGTGCTGCTGACTATCTCTATCAGTACAGAGCTTTGTGCACAAACAGTGAAAGGAGCCTGAGTGCTCTATGGGGAAAATGGGCAGCTGAGATTTTAATGCAGAACTGGGATACTGCTGTTGAAGAGCTTAATCGTTTGAAGGAAATTATTGACTCTAAGGTGGTGTGGCTTATCTAGTTTCTTCCTTTTTTTTGTACGATAATATGTCATCACGTTACTGACTTTTTTCCGGGTAATGTCTATTTAAGAATTTCTCGTCGCATATGAATCAAGTGCAAAGCAGAATATGGTTGATGCATTGGAGCCTCTTCATTTTTTTCAATCATGACAATGGAAGAACACAGATAATTGACCTTTTTAATCAAGATAAGTAAGTATACTAAATTTGGCCTTTTTTCACTACGTTTTACTGATACCGCATGGAGATGTGCTCTTCCTTATTTTTATAGCTAATTCTCTGTTATTCTTAATTATGTGGAAATATGTTCTTAAAAACAATATGTCCCATATGTCCTCCATTATCATGTTGTTTCCCTGTTGTTTTAATGGGACGGTAATGTTCGATGATGTTGTAATCTAGTCTTGTAGAGATGAGTTAAAACATGAAAAGAAATTTGGAGATGAGTTAATTCAGGCCTTTCCATGTTTTAATGAGCTGGTAATTTTCTTATCTGTAGGTATTTAAGTGCCATTCAAACCAATGCTCCCCATCTATTACGCTATTTGGCCACTGCATTCATCGTTAACAAAAGGCGGAGGCCACAGTTCAAAGATTTTATCAAGGTTATTCAGCAAGAACAGAATTCCTATAAGGATCCCATCACAGAGTTTTTGACTTGTGTCTATGTCAATTATGATTTTGATGGGGCACAAAAAAAGATGAGAGAGTGTGAAGAAGTAAGTTTCCTGCTTCTCTTTTTCACTAGGAACTAGGGAGTTATATGCTAATTTAAAATGGTGCTTTTTTGTTCATTGTTTTCATGGTGGGGTTTTGCATCTGTTTGGATGGTTCGGTTATTAAGTCGTATTCTAGCTGGCCGTGAATGACAAATGTAATCAATTTTTAGATTTCCCCCTGTTATCAAGTCATAATTAACTACTTGTCCTCAATGTAGGTTATATTGAATGACCCTTTCCTAGGAAAGAGGCTTGAAGAGGGAAACCTTTCTACCGTTCCTTTGAGGGACGAGTTCTTGGAAAATGCTCGCCTTTTCATCTTTGAGACTTACTGCAGAATACACCAGCGCATTGACATGAGGTGCATATCCATTCTCTTTTTAAATTTATTTTATACTTCTCTTTCCATTCTTTTAGGTTATCCCTTGCTTGCATATTTTCTGTCATTGTGGGTTATCTTGTTTCATTTCGTTATTATAAATGACATGCTGGTAACTTGTGTCAGTGTCCTTGCCGAGAAGTTGAACTTAAATTACGAGGAAGCGGAGCGGTGGATTGTTAATCTTGTTCGGACCTCAAAGCTTGATGCCAAGATTGATTCCAAGACGGGAACGGTTATAATGGAACCAAACCAGCCCAACGTGTAAGTATATTTCCCTATTCTAGATTCTTACATCAGCAAAACCATTTCTCAGCCTTCCGAAAGTGCCCTATATATGCGTTCCAATTTTGTCGATGAACTTTCTTGGTCGTCTTTGAACTTTAAAAAGTGTCTAGTGAGTCTGTACACTTAGTGTACAATTAGATCGAATAGACAGACGGTAATAAAATTCGAGACATAATGCATATACTCGTTTCGATTAGCTCTGTTAGTTAAATTTTTGCCTCCTGAAGTGTAAAACCTTTGAATCAATTATTGGCGTGCTTGGTTTCAGATATGAAGAACTGATAGATCACACCAAATCATTATCTGGGCGTACCTACAAGTTAGTCACTCAACTACTAGAGCATGCACAGGCTCAGGCAACCAGATAAATTTTGGATGTTTGGCCCTTTTTTTTTTTGTTAATTTTCTGAACCTCTCATCTGACAAACAAACAGCAGAGATCTGAGCAACATTTTCCATATTTGATTCCTTGTTTCTAAGGAAATGATATGTAACTTTTCATAATTTTTGTCAATTTATGTTTAAGTAGTAGAATTATGAATTTGATTATCTTGTTCATTATCTTGTCAATTTATTTATTTTTTTGTGAGAGTAATTTGAAAATTAGACAATTATCAGGATAAAAAATCTAGATCCAATGAAACTTTCAAAATATCAATTTTATTTTCTTCAAAATAACCATTTTCGTCTTTCCTTCTATTGTGTCATCAGATTCTGTTCTTGGGCTACATGTAGGTTTTCAATGTAGGAAAATTTATAGTAATGCTGTTGAGTACTTTTCGTGAGCTTATTTTAAATGTTATTACTATATTTAAAAAATATTCATAAAACTTATATTTAAAAAATATTCATAAAACTATAAAACTTTAAAACTAACATTTTTGCTGTCAATATATAAACAAAAGTTGTCTATCAACATCTCGTAGGTTATGTACAAACATTTTAATGTTACTTTGAAAATTTTACGAGTATTTTGAAACATTATACTAACGGTAATGGTACTTATGAATTTTTTTAGAAAGGTTATATTTTTGAAACTATTATGAAAATTCAACCATAGTAAAGAATGATATTATGATACTATAAAAAAAAAAAAAAAAAAAAAAGTATAAATATGGAAGAATTAGGTTAGAATTTTGAAAAATTGAGAAGTAATTATAGATGAATTAATATATGAATGAATTTTACCAAACGTATGATATTGAGTTGAAGACAAATCTCAAAAAGACCCCAAAAAAATCATCATAAATTTTAGAAACAAAATTGTTATGAATACAATATAAGAGCAACTGGGAAGACTATACCCCACTAATTAGCCTCCGCTCAGGCGTTGAAATGCAGAAAAAAATATATTTCAACCTTCTTCTGTGGTTAGCTTTTGATGATCTTCCCAGCTTGCTTGGCCTTCTCTCTCCCTCTCTCTCATTCTTCCCTTTCCATGATGATGATAATGAAGTTTTGTACAGACGTGGTCGGTCTCCGCTTACCATCGAGATTGCGAACTTCCCCACGACTTCCAGTTGTTCTGGTACTTTCGTCCATTGGCGCTTCTCTCAAATGGCTCAAATGGAGAGCAGCCATGGGCATTGGAGGAAGATCTTCTATTGTTGCTGCTGCCTCTGTTGCTTTCCTTCGCAGTTTTTCTTATTTCCTCTTCAAGATCGTAATGTGATCTCTGTGAAGAAGGAAACAGTGTCAGTATAGATTCAAAGTAGATAATATAAACAACCAACACTAAATTACAACACCTCTTGGATATGGAACTAACAAACAAGGCAGCAACAAACTACGCTAGCACACCTCCCGGTGTCCACCTCCCTTTGGGGCTTAGCATCCTTGGTGGCATACTGCTGACTTTGAGATCTCACAATCCACCCCTTTTGGGGCCTAGCGTCCTCGCTGGCACTCGTTCCTCTCTCCAATCGATGTGGGATCTCACAATCCACCGTCCTTCGGAGTCCAGCGTCCTCGTTGGCACACCGCCTGGTGTCCACCTCCTTCGAGACTCAGCGTCCTTACTGGCACACCGTCTGGTGTCTAACTCTTATACCATTTGTAACAACTCAAGCCCACCTATAGCAGATATTGTCCTCTTTGGGCTTCCCCTTTCGGACTTCCTCTCAAAAATTTTAAAGTGCGTCTGCTAGGGAGAGGTTTTCACCGATGTGGAATCTCACACTCTCCCCTCCTAACTCCCTCTCAGTTCTACCAAAGACAAGGCTGGTGGTAAAACCTACACAATTCTCTCTCTCTCACTCAGCCATGACAAGAGTGAGTCCTTCACCCTAGTCCGTGACTGCCATGAAACCGATAAACATGGAGGGAGGAAAAGAGTGGCACTAGTATTTAGTTTTGAAGACATCAATGTCCAGAAGCAAACAGCCATGTGGCTCAAGCAGTAGTTTGTACATATATTGAGTAAAGTGAAACAAAGAGGCTGGAATTCAATGTATTGGTTATTCTTCAAAATTCAACAAAGTTCAATTCAAGATGAACTACTAACGAGCATACACACGAAATTACTCGAGTTTTAGATACGAAGTTACAAACCTTACTGGAGTCTGAGAGCACAGCATACGCCTCTCCAATGAGCTTAAAAAGCCTGTCAGAATCCCTATAAACATCCTGGGAGATTTCTTTCCAGAGTCGTCCATCATGACTGCTGTCACCTCTTGCTAAGAACAGACCAGCCTGAACTCCAACAAACAATGGGCAAAGTGGTATCATAAAACGAGTTACAAGGCCTATAGTGTATCAACACAAATAAATTACAGGCATAAAACACTTCCAAACCTTGTCAGGATGATGCTTGAGGGCTGCTTTACGATACGCCTTTTTAATGTCCGATACAGTGTCAGTTGGTTTAACTCCCCTGACATGAAAATTTTGAAACTGGATCAGATACTAACATTCCTATTAGGAAATTACGTCTATAAAGGTTCAAGGAATTTTATAAATACTATCGATCAGAAAATTGAAGTATCAGCCAAAGCTAAAACTTACAAGATAAGGTAAAAATCCAAGGAAACTTCTTTCTTAGCGGCTTCTTCCATTAAAGGCTTATTCCTACGAGCTTTCTTCAACTCGACACTACCCGCCTGTCTACTAGGCGTGACCTTGTCATCAGATTGATTTTCAACAATGAAAATAAATTTCTTGAGATCACTAGCTGCTTGACCATAATCTCTGATCATCTCATGGAAATTTGCCCTTCTAGAAAATGCCTGCACAAGAGAGCATTAATCAATTTTTACCAGAACCAATATATTAGAAATAAAACAGATCTCTATAGAAGGCAGGAAGAGGAAGCCTCCACCCACTAGCCACCCACAACAGAGCATTAGTTTGACAACAGAGTTAAACATCATCTCCGTATTCCGATGAAATTTTTATCTGACATTGTATTAAATATCATGCTAGCTCAGAGAAACATCACAACGTATCTAAGAATTTGGTCAGGTAAACCTATCACTACAACCTTACAGGCGAAGGTAGCTCCTGAAGGACTAAAGTCGCTAAGCTACCTTTTGACTATTTATGCCCAACTTATTGATTCCATTCTTGTGACCAACAAGGTGGTCGATGACTGCAATAGAAGAAATCATGAAGGTATTGTGTTCAAATTGGATTTGGATAAAGCTTATAGCAGATTTACTTGGTCTTTCAAAGATGTTCTCTAGGCTAAAGCGTTAGGCAGTAAATGGAGGAACTAGATTTATGCTGCATCTCTTGCCTTCATTAATCAATTCTTCTAAATATGAGATGAAGGAAAAAGTCCTCACTACCAAGGCTGACACAAGCCAACTCGGTTTCCCTATTTCTCTTTCTAATTGTTGCAGGCTATTTGAGTACAGAAAGCGAGGTGTTGGAAATGGCCACATAACATTTGAGCATATTACTTTAGCTGAAAAGTATACCCAGTAGCATCCAAAACCTTAAAAGCCTAGATTGCCCAACAATTTTTTTGCTAAATAAACATTAAAAAAAGCACACAAGAAATGTCCTACCGTGCCTGTAAACACAATATAAAGCACATGGTGTACCATTAAATGTTAACAGTCAACCAATCTCTTCCACCAATACTAAGTTTAAGTGAACAAGAAACAATTTAAATTCAACAATCAAGCTCCATGCAACAGCATATTCCACTAGCATATAAAAGCCTACCTTCGAGTATTTTTCATCAAGGACAATGGCAAGATTACAATCAGCTATGGCATCAGCAATCTGACCCAAAGCTTGGTATGCTGCGGCACGATTACATAAACAAACTGCAGTGAAATATCTGGATTGAACATTAATAGATAATGCAGCTGTATAATGCTCCACTGCTTCAGCGTATTTCCCTGATCGAAATGCTTCATTCCCTGCACTCTGTTATTTAAGACCATGTATGCATCAAGTGGAAAATTATAACTTATAAACTCATGCGTACACAAATTACATAGATAAAGGTTGCATCAAAGGATTATTAACTCTGGTTAAACTTGAAAGTTTCTGGTCATTCAATATCAAATGCTTTAAGTTTCAATTTGAAGAAGCAGCGTGAATTCCCAAACCCTAAGGAATTGACGAACAGCGATCATAATACAGCAGATGGAAGGGAAAACTACTTCTCACATTGTAATATTTCTCCAACAACTGGCAAATGTTTATTCCATAAAAAAAATTGAAACAATTACATTCACAGAGAACAACCCTTTATGAATAATTTGGATTATGAACACATATACTCAAATTAAAAATACTAAGGTGATAGAACAAACATTTTCTTAGTAGGTACCCCGGCAGGGGTGGATATGATTGCTACTTATAGGGTAAAAAATGGTCATGTAATAGTATTAGGGGTAAATTTAGAGGTAGATTTAATGGTAGTTGATATGACCGTATATGATGTAATTTTGGGGATGGATTGGTTCGCAAAAAATTATGCTAGAATAAACTGTTACAAGAAAGAAGAGAGCTTTACGCCACCGACCAAGACCAGATTCAAATTCAAGGGCACGAATCTGGATACTATGCCAAAGGTGATATCAATGATGAAAGCAAAGAAGCTGGTCCATGCCATTATTTTCAAAGTTCGTGTTTTGAACTACTTATGCAAGACCATGCCGTTATTTTCAAAGCTATTTTATATGAGCTTTCGCATTATGTCTTATGCATGCAAGATACATCACTAATTAGAAAAATTAGTGGCGTTACATTAATAGTTCTAAGCAAATATAGGAAAATCAGGAAAGAGAAAAAATTGAATTCACAGTGTCAAAATAGTTACACACCTTACAACGCAGAAGTGCACGTATTGTGTCCGCTAATGCAAATGATGATTCCAAACTTTTTCTTCTAGACCTGCATGAAAAATATTAGCACCAAGATCAAACCACTAAAAGAAATGAAGATCCTAATTGATTTAAAAGTACTCAAGAAGGTACTTGTGTCTCACTTTTCTTCGTTAAACTTCTCTTGCTCAATTTTCCCAACTGTATTGAGAGCATCCTCAAATTTTCCAAGAAAGAAAAGAGCTTTTGTTATCAAGAACCATCTCCACAATCTAGCGAGTGAAGGACTTTGACATCTAGAAACATCTGTTTCAACAATAACACTTTCTGCAATACAATTTTTCTCCGCAAAACAAAGACTCTGCTCACACAGCCTAATTGCCTCTTCATACCTCTGGAGCTGCAGGAGAAGATCCAATGAAAAATAAAAACAAACATGAGATCGAAGTTGAGAAATAAAAGACCACAGTTGTCTAGAAAAGAACGAACCATCCATAACATAAATAATAAGAAGACATTTTCAAAAGGGAAAAGATCATACTCGATTGTACGTAAAAACTAAGTTGAAATGATACAAACCATAATGAGTACTTCGGCTTTCATTTCATGTAATTTTTCTGAATACAGACTGATGGATAAAGCCTCAGCAATCAAATCCAGGGCATTGAGAGCTGCATCTTCAGTTTTTTGTTCCATAAGTTCAGAAGAATGCCTTGTACATTCGGCAACTTTCTGCAGAAAAAAGTGCCAAACAATCATCAGAATACAGCTGAGAACTCTGTTCACATGAACAAACAGCAGACTGAGAACGAGGGTGATTACAAGGATGTGATGGAAAATTATACATCCACTATCCATGATGATGTGGGAAGATACTTGCCTAACCAAAAGTTAGAATGTAGGATTAGAGTCATTTTTGTATTTCTTTTAACTCTCATTTGATGCCTATAGAACACAGATATACACCCCAGTAACCACAAAAATATAAAAAGTATGACGCCAATAGAACAGTTCAGAATCAATGAAAATATAGGTTTCCAATAAAAATATGTAGAAACCTAAGATAAAATTATCATATTTAGTTCCCTTGTAAAGAGATTTTCCCAACGAATGAAGAAAGCACCATAAAATTCTAGACCAGTGTGAGAATCCCACATTGGTTGGGGAGGAGAACGAAACACCCTTTATAAGGTTGTGGAAACCTTTCCCTAGCAAACGCGTTTGAAAGCCTTGAGGGGAAACCCTTTCCCCCAAAAAGGACAAATCTGCTTGCGGTGGGCTTGGGCCGTTACACCCAGACATAACAAATACATCAATTTGGTAGCAGATATTCTAGTTATGGTGTCCACATTTCATACTGCAGTTCAATCATATGATGTCAGAGCTTATATTAGTAAGTTATAAGAAAAGATTAATAAATTTTAACAAAGGGAAACGTATCTTCGACTTCTCTCCCATCTATATTTCCCAACGTTTTTTTTTTTTTGTTAAAGTGAGTCATTAAAATGTAATCTCCATATAGAACCTTCATTAATTTTTTATTCTAAAAACTTCAAATTACTCATATATTGGTGGGCGCCAACTGTGACAAAAAATAACAAGATAACAACTTACACCAGCGCCCATAAGGTGAAGTAGAAAAAATGTAGTACATACCTGAGCCTTTTGGAGGCCATCAGCTGCTTCAATTACCATCCTCCGATCTAAACATATACCCTCCCTAGACTCTAAGCACTTGCTGAAATACTGTAATGCATTCTCAATTTTCCCAAGAAGAAGATGACAACTGTAATGGGAGGGAAGATCTTTAGAACATAAATATAGATGAGTATCAATAGGTAAGGCAATGCAGATTGTATCAAATTGATACATAAATATAGGTGATCATTGATTAGATCGCTCAGTGATAGTGTAATTATTAAGTGCATTTTTAACTATTAAGTGTAAATATTACATTGCTCATCCTCCGATCTAAACATACACCATTCCTAGATTCTAAGTACTTGCTGGAATACTGTAATGCATTTTCAATTACCCCAAGAAGAGGATGACAACCGTAAAGGGAAATCTTTAGAACATAAGAATAGATGAGTATCAATTGAAAAGGCAAAGCAGATTGTATTGACTTGATACATAAATAAAGAATTCTACCAGTGATAATTGATTAGACTGCTCAGTCATAGTATAACCATTAAGTGCATCTCTCATGATTTAATGGGAATTTTTTTTTTCTCTTCGCTAGATGCTCAAAGAAATATATCTAAATAAAACAGGAGGTATATTAAAGCAACTTCGTAATAAAGTTTGTAGAAATAATTAATTTCCATAGGCAATAGTTACAAAAAACCAAGACCAATTTGGAACCTCGAGATACTTAACGACCATAAGAGATGCTAGTGAAAGAAGATCCTGGGGCATGCAAACATGTACTAAGTTGAGATTCCTTGTATACTTCTAAAAAGAAACATACAAGTAAAACATACGATCATAGATTGCTCATTTGCATGAATTGTTAGAATAAATTTATAACTATAACCTAAAATCACAAAATAAAATCCTTACTTTGCAGCCCTCACTTGAACTTTGAGAAAGTTCGGATCTAGTTCAGTAGCCATCCCACAATCTTCCAAAGCTTCCCTAATCTTTCCAAGTGACATTCGTGTGGCTGCACGATTGCTGTAGCAGAGCATGAGGGAGTTAAGGCAAGATGTCGATCCTTCATTAGGTGGGACAGAGTCTATCCCCTGTGTATACAGATCCTCAGCTTTTGAGAGTTCCCCATTTTTGTACGCCTGGTTTCCTCTATCACAGGGTCAAAGAATTTTTTTTTATATCAGCTATATAACATGGAACTAAAGCACGTGATTAAAATCAGTAAGAAAAACTATGCTAAAACTGGTCTTTCTGGAAAATACCTGAGTCGCCACTTCTCACATGTCTCTTGAATTGCAGCCGCGAAAGAATACCCTTGATTAGGCTTTTCTTCTGCTTTCGATTTACTTGAAGCCTCTGAATGCAAAGATGAGTTGCCAATGGATGAAAAATCAAGAGGTAGTCCTAACTTAATATCTGGACTTGGGGAGATGACAAATGCATTGTGATTGGACTTCTTCTTATTTCTCTTTCTGTGCCGGCTCTTTGTTTCTGATAAACTAGCTTGGATGGCAGAAGATGCAGAAAATGTAAAACTTTTGTCATTGCTTTCTAGTGTATCTGAGCTCACGTTGAAAGCCGCTGTAGGTTCTGTAGAAACCCCACCATCAAAACCTCTGCTACGGCACTGCTCGGTTTTGAGGCTAGAGCAGGCTGTTTCATTTCTAGAATCAAAACTATGAACAGAGTTCCCATCTCTATGATGCCCAAAACTTCCCACGGTAGGATCACTATATTTCCAAATACCATTATGTGCATCTGTTACTTTTCTTCCAGTTAAAAGAACATCATTTTCATTGGTACAGACTGTAGAATCTGTTGTCCAAGGTACATAACTATGGACTGGGTCGGAGGATTCACCGGGCATATCTCTTGAATAATGATCAACAGACATAGTTTCCTGATAGGGGGAGAAATCCATAGGTGTGCAAGATCCAGGAGAGTCCAGATTAATTTGGGAGCTGTCATCGTCCTTTGACACTCTATCTTGCAATTTAGCTTGCCTCAGATTTCCCCTTGCTTTCTTTTTCTTAGTTTTGTTCAATTTACTCTTAATACTCGATACTGAATTCCTATTGAGGTCTGAGAACAGATTTTCTTTGAAAGAAGAAGGGTCCCACTGTGGAATTTTAAATTCCCCGGAAGTAAAATCATTTTCGGTATCTAAAGAACCGTGTTCATTGTTTTTTCCAACTTCACCCAAATGAACTTGTGGATTATCATTTGATTGACATTGAAAGTTAGCTGTTGAGAATGATGATGTTGTTGAGGCCATTTGTACATGTAAAGTATCATTTACACAGGATTTAGGAAACTGACACCCACCACAACCTACAAAGCATCCTGACAGAAAATTAAATGGCTCAGCGCTAGAACAACTCTCAAAAGCAGAAGGAAATTCACAACCACTTTGAAATTCAGTTTTGCACTTACCATTACGTTCAGGATTATCCTCAAAGGTCTTACCAGTAGAGCCTGCCAGACCTTCTGAAGAGCCAGATGGCTTGTCACAATCATTAGAGCTGGAAGAGGTCTCAGCAAAGGTAGCATTTGAACACTCAGCCTTTTTACATCCACTAATACTCCCAGAATCATTGATGTTCAGATTCTTCATCTCATCCGGTAGTGTAAATAGTGTCTTTGACCTCCCTTTCACTGCTTTATTTAAGCTGGAACTCCCGAATATAAATACATCTCTACCAAGATCTTCCTTGAGGGTCCTACCCTCTTCACAACCTAAGTTAACATTACTAGCTTCCGCATTCTGAAATGCTGCTGAGCTTTCTGCTTTCATCTCGACTCCGAAATCAGGAACAGAACTTCCTACATTACTTGTTGCATCAAACCAACTGTCGCCAAAAACAAACTTCGAATCAAAAGATTTAGTTAAATAATCATCATTTTTAGTTTTGAGATTGCTACAACTCTCAGTACCCGCCTTCCCCACGGATTTATCAAGTTCTTCCTCTTCTGTATTAACCGTGGATGCCAGATCAATCGTCTCCGTATTGTTATTCGTGGCAGGATTCGTTACGGAATCCATTTTCATTCTACCACCACCGGAGTCAAGCTTCCCAGCATTCACGAAATTCTCCCATTTCCACTCTGCCTTCATCTTCACCCCATCGTCCGCTACAAGTTTCTCACAATTCACACTAGACTGTTCACATTTGTTGTCTGAAGTTTCTGAACTCGAAGCACAGTTGCTCAGTTTAGCACCAAATACAAACCCTTCATTCTCGACCTTCCCAGAAGCCAATTTCTTATGCACATCATCGTTGGACACCGTATTCCCAGAATTCGAATCGCCATCCCGATTCGCTCCAAACACAAAACCACCGTCAAATTTCTTAGTATCACCTAAGAACACAAACTCATCATTCGAACTAACCTCGCAAGAACCAACTTTCGACCTCGCATGCTGCGACGCAACCCGTTTCCTGACCTTCGTAAGTCTCGGCCGCGATCGAGCCACACGTTGAGAATCAGAAACGAACTTCAAATCGAGTCCACTCGGATCACTAGCGCTAGAAGACTTCACTCCCTGCTGGTCACCCTGTAAATCACCGGTACAAAAAGCGGGTAAACCAAACGATGTATCGAATCGATGGGGGTTAAGCTCAGTGTTTTGGAGCGTGGCTGACGAGCATTCGACTGGTGGGGATATCGCCGGAGATCGTAATTCCACCGCCGGCGGCGACATTTAAGGAAGGAAAGAAATCCCCCGATGTAAATAAAACGAAGGTTTTAGATCAAAATTAGGGTTTAAAGCAAATGGGTATTTGGAAACGAATCTTATTCCGATTGAGATCGCGTGGTTTAGGGTTTTTGCTGAGAAGAAGAAATGGATTCAGAGAGACGAACTGGAAATCTAAACTAACAGATTTGATTTATTGATTTCTTGTACACAGTAAAGCAAAGAGACGTGAAATTGGGACACGTGAAATCAAGAAAGAACCAAAAGAAATGGAGAAGTTCAAAGGTTCGGGGAAGGTATTGCTTAAACGGCTACTTTTATTGAATAATAACTATTTATTTAATTAAATAATTTGTAATTTCAATTAAGTTAAATTAATAAAAATATAATTTTTAAATTTCAAAAATACTTTTAAACTTTTAAAAATTTTGAGACAAAGTTTATTAGTATTTTTATTAATTTAATGGCCCAGCTAAGCCGAGGAAAAGGATAAAATAATAGAAGAAGCATTTGACTCCTTCATGCAGGCCCCACTTGGCTCAGAGGGATATAGCTCGGTTGGTAGAGCTCCGCTCTTGCAATTGGGTCATTACGATTACGGATTGGATGTCTAATTGTCCAGGCAGTAATGATAGTATCTTGTACCTGAACTAGTGCCTCACTTTTTCTAAGTAACGGGGAAGAGGACCGAAACATGCCACTGAAAGACTCTATTGAGACAAACATGGGTTGTCAAGAACGTAGAGGAGGTAGGATTGGTAGTTGGTCAGATCTAGTATGGATCGTACATGGATGGTAATTAGAGTCGGCGGCTCGTTTTGGTTATTTTACAACAATTTAATAAATTTTTTTTACTAAACACTATCGATTAACTTTGTGTGGTTTAAAATGAAATTTATCGAACACTAAACTCTTGCAATAAAAAATAATAATAATAATAATAATTTTGAGGATAGAAATTAAATCTTTCGACTTTAAAATAGTAATTAGTGTTACAAGCTCCAAAGCTATACTCCAATTGACATAATTTTTTTTTCTTTTATTTTCTCGGTGGAAGTCGAGGCATATCGGTAGCGACGTGAGGAGTCATGATACAGTTTGAGATATGGGTTAAGGTTTTTAGTTAGGTTGAGCTGAGAGCTTTTACTTTCTTTCGAGTTTAACACGTGGGGTTCGAGAGATTTAAACCATTAACTTCTTAGTCGAGAATATATGTTTGAGTCAGTTAACCTATGCTCAGGTCAACCGTTGGATGGAGAATTATAGTGTGTATATATAGAGAGAGAAATAATAATTATTATTATTATTTTGGTATAAAATTAAGGTTGTTACAAATGGTGTAGGGTGAGACACTCAGCGAGGGGAACGAAGCATTCCTTAGGATGTTTGTAAGGGTGTAGAAATCAACGAATAATATCTCCTAACAGTGGACTACCGTGAGGCTGACAACAATATGTAATTGGTCAAAACGGACAATATTTGCTAGTAGTAGACTATCGTGAGAGTCGGCATTCCTTAGGATGTTTGTAAGGGTGTAGAAATCAACGAACAATATCTCCTAGCGGTGGACTACCGTGAGGCTGACAACAATACGTAATTGGTCAAAACGGACAATATTTGCTAGTAGTAGACTATCGTGGGAGTTGGCATTCCTTAGGATGTTTGTAAGGATGTAGAAATCAACGAACAATATCTCCTAGCGGTGGACTACCGTGAGGCTGACAACAATACGTAATTGGTCAAAACGGACAATATTTGCTAGTAGTAGACTATCGTGGGAGTTGGCATTCCTTAGGATGTTTGTAAGGGTATAGAAATCAACGAACAATATCACCTAACAGTGGACTACCGTGAGGCTGACAACAATACGTAATTGGTCAAAACGGACAATATTTGCTAGTAGTAGACTATCGTGAGAGTTGGCATTCCTTAGGATGTTTGAGACAAGCACAGTATCAGAGCCATGCCCAAAAGTTAGTCATGTCAATAGAAATCTCAAATGTCGAACAAAGAACCCGAAAAGAAAAAGGAGTCGAGGCTCCTCGAAGGCATAGTAAAAAATGACTAAGACTCCAAAAGAAAAGAAGTCGAGCTTCGATTAAGGGAAGATGTACTTTGTTCGAGGGGAGGTGTTGGATGAAAGTCCCTGTGTTGGTATAAGGTCTATGTGGAAGCCTAAAGCAAAGCCACGAGAGCTTATGCTCAAAGTGAACAATATCATACCATTGTGGAGACTCTGTTCTAACCAAATGAAAGAGGGAAGGGTAAATTGGTAAATTTGTGATTTAGCTTAAATAAGAGTTAATGATTTCTAACCTATTCCTATTGCCTTTGATCACCAAAATTTACGTGACGGGTCTAATCACTCGAGAGCTTCCTCTCCTGCTAGTGCGCAGAAGGTACCCTAATATTTTTACCCACTACGATAAGAATATTAATCTCATGATTTGCATTATGAATTGAATTTGATTCTTTACCAAGAACTAACAATCTACAGTTTCATTAATCTTCAATCCAATCTTAAAGTGCGTATGAAAGTCGATTCCATTTTGAGGCCAAAATGTTCGCAAATTATGTTCTTCGATCATCATGTGGTTTGAACTTTTTCATTAAAAATTGTTCATGACAGAGCTTCATTATTTTCCAGAGATGAACAGCATTGGATTCATGTTAACGACTAACGAGCTTTAAAGTGCGTATGAAAGTCGATTCCATTTTGAGGCGAAAATGTTCGCAAATTATGCTCTTCGATCATCTTATGGTTTGAACTTCTTTATTAAAAATTGTTCATGACAGAGCTTCATTATTTTCCAGAGATGAACAGCATTGGATTCATGTTAACGACTAACGAGCTTGTTGTGCGACTATGGCTTTTCAGAATTTTCCTTTTCTTTTTGTTTGAGATTGATGAGAAGTACATTAGGAATTTGAAGTTTGAAAACGAGATTGTTGGGAATGTGGCGATTGTGTTTGGAGAGCTTGGGGATGAATTCCAAATGTTGTGTTTTGTATGTGAGAATTTGTAATAGTCCAAGCCCATCGCTAGTAGATATTGTCCTCTTTGGGTTTTCCCTTTCGGGTTTTCCCTCAAAGTTTAAAATGCCTCTGTTAGGGAGAGGGAGAGGTTTCCACACCCTTATAAAGGATATTTTGTTCTCCTCTCCAACCGAGTTGGGATCTCACAATCTACCCCCTTCGGGACCCAGCATCCTCGCTGGCACTCGTTCCCCTCTCCAATCAATGTGGGACCCCCCAATCCATTCCATTCGGGACCCAACGTCCTCGCTAGCACATTGCCTGGTGTTCACCCCCCTTCGGGATTCAGGCTCCTCGCTGGCACATCGCTCGGTGTCTGGCTCTGACACAATTTGTATAACAACTCAGGTCCACCGTTGGCAAACATTGTCCTCTTTAGACTTTCCCTTTTGGGTTTTCCCTCAAAGTTTTAAAACACGTCTGCTAGGGAGAGGTTTCCACACCCTTATAAAGAATGCTTTGTTCCTATCTTCAACCGAGTGGGATCTCACAGAATTACACTATTCTTTATCTATGAAAATACAATTGTTCGACTTGGGAATGAGATACCCATGTATTTGATGGATAGAAAAGACTACATTTATTGATCCCATGATTGCTTATTAAGCGGATCTAGATCTACTTGAGGTATGTAATGTGTAGCTAAAAAAACACGAGTAACTATCTGGATAACTAAACGAGGACTTGCTGACAGACCAAACCCCCACCAATCTAAGATTTCTCGGGGTTGGATAATTTAACAAATGTTGGTTAAGTGCAGAGGATATTAGTTGTTTAAGAAGTGAGAAACATTGGTTTCTTTTAGTCATTTCTCTTTCCTACCATCACGACTCTTGTTCCCCCACCTTTATAGCATTCAACCGGGGTCTATGGTTCATGTAGTTTTATGTAGAGAGGAAGGTGACATTTGTAAATCTGGACCTCCTTTAGGGTGGTGATACTTCTGAATCATAGATATACTTTTCTGCAATGCGTATGTAGATACACACAAGTGTAACATTGCACACATGTATAAGCAGAAGTTTTTTTTTTTTTTTTTTTTTTTTTTTTTATATTAAACCAGCTCAATGGTACATGTAGCATATAAACATATGTATCTATACAGAAGAATACAGAAGGAGGATGACTGTCCCCACTACATTCTGTTAGATGAACACGACTCTCCACAATGGTTTGATATTGTCCACTTTAGGCATAAGCTCTCATGGCTTTGCTTTGAGCTTCCCTAAAAGGCCTCATACCAATGGAGAGAGTATTCTTTGTTTATAAACCCATGATCATTCCCTAAATTAGCCGATGTGGGACTTTCATTATCCAACACCTCCCCTCGAATAAAGTGTGCCTCCCCTTAATCGAGGCTCGACTCCCTTGGAGTCTTAGTCATTTTTGACTGCTTTCGAGGAGGCTTGACTCCTTTTCTTTTGGAGTCCTTTGTTCGATATTTGAGGATTTACCAATTTATTGGCACGACTAAGTTTAAGGCATGACTCTAATACCATGTTAGACGAACACGACTCTCCACAATGGTATGATATTGTCCACTTTGAGCATAAGCTCTCATGACTTTGCTCTTGGCTTCCCTAAAAGGCCTCATACCAATGGAGAGAGTATTCTTTGTTTGTAAACCCATGATCATTCCCTAAATTAGCCGATGTGGTTCTTTCATCATCCAACACATTCAATAGGGCAGTGTTTAAAAGTTTCCAAGTCAATACGATATTTGTGTGTTTTGTTACGCTCTAAGAGTTCTCAAGAAAGCTCACCAGAATGACTTGTGCTATTTTTCTGATAATTGATAAGATCCCTAACAACATAATGTGATTTCTCATTAATTTACAGTTTTATCATCATAGCTTTCACATTCTTCAAGGAACTTGTTTATGTGTTGCTTATTCAAATACAACTATCATAAGAAGGGAATACCCTTTTGGAATATCCTCTGACCAGGAGCAAGAATTGCCAAAGGATCATACATAGATTTCCTCTGCAAGATAGTCTGCCACTTGGGCCCAAAGTGAGATCTCCATTCTTCTTGGGAGTTGTAGTGGGGGAGATATTGCTTAACACCAGGGAGGTACTCAATACAGTAATCCAAAATTCTTTGATTTTGTTCTAAAATGTGTTCTAACCCATCTGTTCCTATGGAAGATGGAACTGCAGAAGATAAGAACGCCACCAAGTAGAAAATATCTTCATCTGGCGTGACGAACGATGTTTTATTATTCCACCTGAACGAATGAAAGTCGATGTAGAATGAGAATAAGGACATAGGGATGTTGAGGATTATTGGGAGTGAGTCCCACGTTGGTTAATTTAGTGGAAGATCATGGGTTTATAAGTGAGGAATACTATCTCCATTGGTATGAGGCCTTTTGGGGAAGCCCGAAGTAAAGCCATGAGAGCTTATGCTCAAAGTGGACAATATCATACCATTATGGAGAGTCGTGTTCATCTAACATGGTATCAGAGCCATGCCCTAAACTTAGTCGTGCCAATAGATTGGTAAATCCTCAAATATTGAACAAAGGACTCCAAAAGAAAAGGAGTCAAACCTCCTCGAAGGCAGTAAAAAATGACTAAGACTCCAAAGGAGTCGAGCCTTGATTAAGGGGAGGCGCCCTTTGTTCGAGGGGAGGTGTTGGATGATGAAAGTCCCACATCGGCTAATTTAGGGAATGATCATGGGTTTATAAACAAAGGATACTCTCTCCATTGGAGTGAGGCCTTTTGGGGAAGCCCAAGCAAAGCCATGAGAGCTTATGCTCAAAGTGGACAATATCATACCATTGTGGAGAGTCGTGTTCATCTAACATGATATCAGAGCCATGCCCTAAACTTAGTTGTGCGAATAAATTGGTAAATCCTCAAATATCGAACAAAGGACTCCAAAAGAAAAGGAGTCAAGCCTCCTCGAAGGCAGTAAAAAATGAATAAGACTCTAAAGGAATCGAGCCTTGATTAAGGGGAGGCGCACTTTGTTCGAGGGGAGGTGTTGGATGATGAAAGTCCCACATCAACTAATTTGGTGAATGATCATGGGTTTATAAACAAAGAATACTCTCTCCATTGGTATGAGGCCTTTTAGGGAAGTCCAAAGCAAAGCCAGGAGAACTTATACTCAAAGTGGACAATATCATACCATTGTGGAGAGTCGTGATTCCTAACCAGGGATATAACGAGCAAGTCATGAGATAATTACTTGGATTTGTTAACGGGGTAGATTATGATAGGACCATTGCTAGTATCCTTGAGGATTTTTCCAAACACTTCTTGAGCAAAATCATGTATTTGGCTTCTGGGAATCAGTAGATTTAGCCATGGATGAGGAATTTCCCATAAACCTTTTGCTCGTAGCTTGTTCTCTGAAACGTGTACACGGTCCAGGAAATCGACGTAAGTAACTTCTGATGTGAAGAGAGTTGATGGAATATAGCTCAATCCTGTCAATAACCTTTCAACTTTCTGCATTATAAGAAAGAGAAGTTAACATATGGGATTGCTTTTGTTGTTTGTTGTCTTTTGTTCTTAGATGGTATGATTTCTGATAACTCCTCACCTTGTTCATGAAGTCAATTTCATCTAGGTTGAAGTACTTGGCTATTTCCAAGCAGTAGAAAATTTTTCCATCTGAATTGAATTTGCTAGCTTGTAGTGGTTCTTTGGGATTAAAGGAAGATCTCCAGTTATTTAGGAGACCAGTTCTGTTTATAACTACAAATCCTTCAATATAATCAAATTGATCCATGGATGATATCAGATACTCTTGGTCTCTTGTAAATTTGGAGAAGTCTGAGTACAACATTCTTATCCATTTTACCTGTAAAAAATGATGAGTTGTGTATCAAACGAAGCATCACTTGAAAATTTCGGTACCTCGGCGTAACGAAACGGTATATGCTCTTACCATTTTTGGTGCCTTTTCCAAAGAAATTCTTGCGCTTGTTATGATGCCAAACTGTCCAAGTCCGCCAAGAACAGCATGGAAAAGCTCTGCATTTTGATTCTCTGAACAGGCAACCACCTCTCCTTTTCCTGCAAAGGTTTCAGATATCAGGTTTTACAGCTTTTTTGTCAAAAAAGCATTGAAATGCATTTAATTGCAGCAATGCTCTTAAACGTTTTATTAAGAACAACATGTTAGGAATCACGACTCTCCACAACGGTATGATATTGTCCACTTTGAGCATAAGCTCTTGTGGCTTTGCTTTGGGCTTCCCCAAAAGGCCTCGTACCAATGGAGATAGTATTCCTCACTTATAAACCCATGATCTTCCACTAAATTAACCAATGTGGGACTCAGTCCCGATAATCCTCAACAATCCTCCCCTCGAACAAAGTACACTATAAGCCTCAAGGGCCTCCCCTTAATCGAGACTCGACTCCTTTCTCTGGAGCCCTCGAACAAAGTACACCCTTTGTTCGACACTTTAGTCACTTTTAGCTACACCTTCTAGGCTCACAATTCTTTGTTCGATATTTGAGGATTCTATTGACATGGTTAAGTTTAGGGCATGACTCTGATACCATGTTAGTAATCACGACTCTCTACAATGGTATAATATTGTTCACTTTGAGCATAAACTCTCATGGCTTTGCTTTGGGCTTCCCCAAAAGGCCTCATACCAATGGAGATAATATTCTTCACCTATAAACCCATGATCTTCCACTAAATTAACCAACGTGGGACTCACTCCCAATAATCCTCAACACATCATGCCAGGAAAAAAAGTTGCTTCTTTGTGGAATGACAAGTGATATTACATGATATGTTGTAATATCAAGTGACACTGTTCTGATGAACAGTATGGAGGTACCTGTTACAACTTCCAGCTGATAAACGTTGCTGATCTGGGGTCCATGCCTGAAAGCCTGCCCACTAATGCCAGCATTTGACAAGGTGCCTCCAACAGTAAGATGCAGGTAATCAGTCCAAGATTTTGGTGCCAGCCCCAGTTTAAGAGTTTCATGCAGGATATTTATCCACAGCTCTCCAGCTGAAACATCCACATAAGGTAAATCCCCTGCATTTATTTTCATTTCTGGCCCTTGAAATGATTCCATACTGATAACTACACCATTATAGGCTTGAGCTTGACCTTGGATGGAATGTCCATGGCCTCTAGCTGCAACGGTCAACTCCGACACATATCCCATTCTGAAAATATGGTTTATCGTGCGCGATATATCGGAGACAGAGCTTGGATGTAACACAGCTAACGGTAGTAAATGGTATCTTTTTCCAAAATCTGTTGCTGCTTGATGATTATTTTCAAAGCTGAGGTATCCATCCAATTCCAGTGTTTGCAGGGCATACGTTGATATATCAGAGGACCCAAAATGAGGTGGAATTATTGAGGCTGCATATAGGTGGTTCCTGCTGTCAGGTATGCAACTGATATATAGAATTATGTATAACTTGAGAACAATAATACTTTTTTTGATGAAGCCAGATGTTGGTACCCTCATCTTTCCTTGAGAGAGAGAGAGAGAGAGAGAGAGAGAGAGAGAGCTAAGGGAGAGGTATAGAGGAGCCTAAGGGATGGAGTGGAATGAAAGGGAATTTAAAGAAGTTCTTGGGCGGCATAGTCAAACACTTAGTTAGTGGTACTTTCTGGAAATAGTACTCAACCAAATTTTTCTTGAAACAGAATTCACCTTGACCATTAATTGTGGAAGGTGCAGGGTGGTGTTTGTTACTACTTGAAGCAAAGATTTTATGTTATGCTATAACCAATCACGGCGTAAATTCACTGTTTGTCTTCTTTACACGTTGAATGCGACTGCAAAATACTGTAATTGTGAGATCCCACATCGGTTGGGGAGGAGAACGAAATACCCTTTATGAGGGTGTGGAAACCTCTCCCTAGCAATACGCGTTTTAAAAACCTGGAGGGGAAGGACGGAAGGGAAAACTCAAAGAGGACAATATATGCTAGTGGTGGGCTTAAGTTGTTACAAATGGTATTAGAGTCGGACACTGGGCGATTTGTCAACGAGGAGGCTGAGCCTTGAAAGAGGGTGGACATGAGGTGGTGTGCTAGCAAGGACGTTGGATTTCGAAGGGGGGTGGATTTGGAGGGTCCCACATCAGTTGGAGAGGAGAACGAAACACCTTTTATAAGGGTATGGAAATCTCTCCCTAGCAGATGCGTTTTAAAAACCTTGATGGGAATTCCGAAAGAGAAAGCCCAAAGAGGACAATATCTGCTAGCGGTGGGTTTAAGTTGTTACAAATGGTATCAGAGCCAAACACTGGGCGATGTACCAGCGAGGAGGTTGAGTCTTGAAAGGGGTGGACACGAGATGGTGTGCCAGCAAGGACGCTGGACCCCGAGGGGGGGGGGGGGGNGGGGGGGGGGGGTGTATTTGGGGGTTCCACATCGATTGAAGAAATGAACGAGTGCCAATGAGGACGCTGGGCTCTAAAATGAGGTGGATTGTGGAATCCCACATCGGTTGGGAGGGAGAACGAAACACTCTTTATAAGGGTCTGAAAACCTCTCTCGAGCATACGCGTTTTAAAAACCTTGAGGGAAAGCCCAAAGAAAACAGTATCTGCTAGCGGTGGGCTTGGGCCGTTACACTAATTGGACAGTTTGTCTGCTATATACATATATTGTACAATCTGAACTCAATTTCCCTACTGCAGAGTGAATGGCGGGCTGGCCCCTACTAAGTTTCATGCTTCTTCAAGCTGAGTGTCTGGGGAGTCAGATTACTGGGACCCACTCCAGTTTTTCTTCATAAGAGTATACATTATGTTTTGACAGCCCTCACCAACGTGTTATACATTTATTCTGCATAATTTCCATGAAGTTTTTACATATTCATCATGATCTTTGCATATGATCATCCATTTTTGTCTAAAATTTACATTGACATGTGAATTCTGGTCAAGACGTCTTACGAACTCCGCTTCCGATTTTTTGTAACGTTGTACAGTCAAGATTCGTACCGGTGCACATGAACTAGCTCAATCCGTCACAGTTCTTAAGAAAAGTAAACAGAATAAGCATGATGATGAATGTGTTGAATGCTGACAAACAAACATTTTCGAAAGCTTCATACGTCGATTTTTACTACTGTTCCTAAGTCTCTCGATTCAATGTCGTTTCAAATAGTGATTCGATTAGAGCGAAGTTGTTTAAGTTAGAGGTGCATTTAATGATTTAGATTATAATTTTCAAAAGTGCCCTTCAAGGCAGGACCACCAAAGTGAAATTGCGTTCAAATTCAACTGCATCTAGACTTTGATTTTATGTTTTCTTTGACTCAATGAGTGACAGAAGTTGTTTTTGGGTGCAGAAGAACAAGTGTTTGAAAGAGAAAGATGAAAGGTATGTCTACATATACACTTGAGTTCATAGCAGCAGCATCAGCATCAGCATCAGCATCAGCATCGGCAAGAACAAGGCTTTTGGTCAGTCCAATATACAAAAAGAAAGCTGAATTTACTTCCATGTGATAATTCATTATCTTTTTTTGTGGATTTAAAAGGTATATGGCTTCATTGTCAAACTTGTAATGGAGGTTATGAGAGAGAGGGATTGTTTAGGGGTGGGGCCATGGACATGTGATCTTCATAAGGGCGTGTAGTGGCCCAAGAAAAGGAAGATAAAGAAAGATTTGAAAAGAGAGGAACAAGAGGCTTAGTAAAAGGACTCTAGGGTATGTATAACCGTCCAAGTCCACCGTTACCAGATATTGTCTTTTCGGCTTTTCTTTTCAGGCTTCCCCTTAAGATTTTAAAACGTGTCTGCTAGGAAGAGGTTTCCACACCCTTATAAAGAATGCTTCGTTCCTTTCTCCAACTGATGTGGGATCTCACAATTTTGTGTTTGGTTCCAAAGCCCACCGCTAGCAGATATTGTCTTTTTTGGGCTTTTCCTTTCGGGCTTCCTTTCAAAGTTTTAAAACGGGTCTGCTAGGGAGAGGTTTTCACATCCTTATAAAGAATGTTTCGCTCCTCTCTCCAACTGATGTGGGATCTCACAATTTTGTGTTTGGTGCCCAAATCCATTGCTAGCAGATATTGTCTTCTTTGGACTTCCCCTCAAGATTTAAAACGAGTATGCTAGGGAGAGGTTTCCACACCCTTGTAAAAAATGCTTCGTTCCCCTCACTAACCGAGGTGGGATCTTACAAATTTTTGTTTGGTGCTCATGCCCACAACGGACAGATATTGTCTTCTTTGGGTTTTCCTTTTCGAGCTTCCCCTCAAGGTCTTAAACCATGTCGGCTAGAGAGAGGTTTTCACACCCTTATAAAAAATGCTTCGTTCCTCTCTCCAACCGACGTGAGATCTCATAAATTTGTGTTTGGTGCTCAAGCCCACTGCTGACAGATATTGTCTTCTTTGGGTTTTCCTTTTCAGGCTTCCCCTCAAGGTCTTGAACTGTGTCGGCTAGGGAGAGGTTTACACCCTTTTAAAGAATGCTTCGTTCCATTCTCTAACCGATGTGGGATCTCACAATTTTGTGTTTGGTGTCTAAGCCCACCGCTAGCAGATATTGTCTTCTTTGGGCTTTCCCTTCCGAGCTTCCCCTCAAGGTTTTAAAACGCGTATGCTAGGGAGAGGTTTCCACACCCTAACAAAAAAAAAAAAAAAAAAGCTTCGTTCCCTTCTACAACCGATGTGGGATCTCACAAATTTGTGTTTAGTGTCCAAACCCACCGCAAGCCGATATTATCTTCTTTGGACTTTCCCTACCAGGCTTCCCCTCAAGATTTTAAAACAGAGAGAGGTTTCCATACCCTTTTAAAAAAAGACTTCGTTTCCTTCTCAAACTGATATGAGATCTCACAATTTACCAAATTGGTGGTGGAGTGTGAATATTACAAACAAAAAAAAAAAAAAAAAAAAAAAAAAATTGATTCCATTGTTTGATTGGATGGCATTGATTCTAATTTCAATTTCAGTTGCCCCAACATTATTCTTTTGTGTGGAAAGTTGGACTCTTGGCCCACGAGGGTGGTTGAGTTACTAGAGAACTCCTCAAAATGGTTGCTTTTTGTAACCATCATGCGAGTGTCTACAATTATCTTTCAACCTTACCATCACCATCTAAAACACAAGGTAGTGCATATTAAAATCGTTTGGGAATTCTTTGAAAAGTAGCTCATAAAACCCATATGATCGAGTGATTTATTACGGTGGAAAGAACGATTTGAATCGTTCTACGTAATAATCAAAACAATACAAATAGGAACAACAATACAGTTTCTGTCTAGTTTACACGGCTCTATGTGATGACAATTTCGTTTCTAGTTTCATTCTTGAAAAGTGTACTTGTGTTCTTACCGTTTCTTTACTATAGTTTTGATATTTGTTCGATTTTTTTTTGGATTCTTAGTCGATTTTGAAGTTTTTTTTTAGGAAGTCAGACTTTCACCCATTACAGGAAATTCTACATTGTTGTTTTCACTAGGAGACTAGGTTGTACCGAAGTCCTAGTGGGCCTGATGATTCTCTTAGATTGTATCTGAATTTTCTTTTACTAGAGCATACCTACCTAAAAAAGTCCTCTTTTATGTTAAGGGCACGGATGAAACGGTCAACTAATCACGGCACTAAGATGTCAAGTTTCTTATCTTTCAATTGACACGCTTGATAGAGATATGGCTCCGACTTCTGCCTTTATCAAACTATTATGATATCCCCATCTTAACAACCTCGACATGAAGGAGTAGCTTCTCAAACTTCACTACGACCAATTTGTATTTTTTTCAAATCGATTTATGATAGATAACGAAGTCTATAAGTCGAAATAGCATTTATAAGCTTGGTTTTCTAAAGGTAAAAATCAAATAGTTATGAAACAGTGGATCTAAACTTTTAAAGATTCATATGCCCAAAGCTATTGTTAGTAGATATTGTCTGTTTTAGCTCGTTACACTTCAATCTCACTATAACGACCAAAGCCCACTGCTAGCCGATATTGTTCTCTTAAGGTTTTTCCCCTTCGAGCTTCTTCTCAAGGTTTTTAAAACGCGTTTCTTAAGGAGAGATTTCTATACCCTTATATAAAGAATGTTTCGTTCTCCTCCCCAACCAATGTGAGATCTCACAAAACACCTCTATTTGGGGCCTTGTGTCTTTGCTAGCACTCATTCTCTTCTCCCATCGATGTGAGACCCACAATCCACTCCCTTCGGGGCCCAGCGTCCTTGCTAGCACATCGTCTCATGTCCATCCCCTTCGGGACTCAACCTCCTTGCTGGCACATCACCCGGTGTCTAGCTCTGATACCATTTGTAACAGCCCAAGCCCACTGCTATCAGATATTGTCCTCTTTGAGTTTTTTCCTTTCCGGTTTCCCCTCAAGGGTTTTAAAACATGTCTACTAGGGAGAGGTTTCCACACCCTTATAAGGAACGCTTTGTTCCTGAGATCTCACAAAAACAAAGTGTCAGCACACAAACATCCCTCGAAGTCTCGAGATTATTTAGCAAACAATTCAATACTTAACAAAGAGAAGACACAAAACGTAACAGTATTCAACGACTTTGAAAAGCATGTCAACTTAATCCCGCACTACTGATATCTCAAATTCAACTCGGGATCAAAAAACCCTAATTTCTTTTTCGAAAAAGCACCTAGAGAACAATGTTTGGTACCCACATGTGAAAAGCCAATCTTGTCACCAAACTTTCCCATGGCAAGCTCTCCATTTAGTTTGTGGTGTTAGCAAGTAGGGGCCTGTTTGTGTGTACTTTGAAGAGAAGAACCCATAAAGCATAAAAAGCTTTAAAAGTTATGAAAAGAAAGTGGGCATAGAGATGAGAGTTTGAATGGCAAAAACACACTAAAAAAGCAATATTTACAACACCTAATTGGCTTTTGTGTCCAATAAGCTTCTATTTGGGAGAGTATCAAACACATAGCTTTTGGTTATTGGGGAACCTTATGAACATCACTTTGAATATCATGTGTTGCTTAAGAGATACCTTTTCTTCTTCTTTTTTGATATCTATTTCATATGGGACTTTGTTGTTTCAAATATTGGGATCAATGACACAATCTTCTTTCAAAATTCAACCCAAAAAAAGGGTCAAATCTCTATGAAAAGTAGAGGCCAAGAAGAAAGAATTAGGGTTTATCTTTTCACTCTCTAGAATCTTCAATGCTTTTGGATATACTTCATAATGCCCACAACCTAAAACAACTCCTACAAACAATTCTTTTCCACTTTCTTTATAAATGGAAAGTTTCTTCCTCTATAGTTTATACCAAATTGGATAAAAGGGTATTTATACTAGGGGTGTACATGGTCCGGGTTGGGTTGAGTTGGAAGATTTTTTTGACCCAATCCAAAAGTTCAGGTTGGTTGGATTGGTAACCCAACCTGACTCGAAAATTTTCACAACCCAACCCAACTCAACCCTCTATCTTCGAGTTGGGTTCTCAGTTGCTAACTTTTTTAAGTTTTTTTTTTAATACAAGGATAAATTATGAAATTAAAAAAATTATAAAAGCAACAAAGTAATTTTTAAATTTTTTTACTTATTCACCCTCGTAATTATTCAATGTAATCCTAAAAAATATTAAAAGTTTTCAAATAAATACAAATCAATTTATAATTATTAAAAAAAAAAAACAAATTCATGACAACAATAAAAAAAATTGTAAAATCTCAGCGTTAATTAACAAAAATTGGTTAGTCAAAATATAAGGATAGATCATGAAATTAAAAAATTATAAAATAAACCAACAAAGTAATTTTAAATTTTTTTTACTCATTCACAATTCATAATTATTCGATATAATCTTAGATAAGAAATATTAAAAATTTTCAAATAAATACAAATCAATATATAATTATTAAAAGAAAAAACAAATTCATGACAACAATAAAAAAAAATTGTTACATTTCAACATTATTTAACAATAATTGGTTAGTCTAACTCAAGGATAGATTATGAAATTAAAAAATTATAAAACAAAGTAATAAAAGGATGATTTCGGCTTGAGTCAAATCCGAGCATGAAGTATTCTAGTAAACCCGGGTTGTCACTCTGATAGACCTTTACACATTAGAGAGTTCTCAATGTTATTTATAAGTTTTATTCAGTTTCAGGTCAACCCAAGTTTTTTATCCTATGAACCGAAAACCGAACCGAGTCACTTCGGGTTCAGAAAAACAACCCAACCCAAAAGACTAATCCAACCCAACCCAACCCCTATAATTCGGGTTGGGTTGGTCTGGGTTGTAGAGTTGTTGAGTTAGATGTACACCCCTAATTTATCGTCAGTCGGATCAATTTGAGACAATTTTTAGACTTAACCCAATTGTTCTGGTTGTAAATTTTTTCAACACAAACAATTCTTAAATAATGAATCTAACCAAATCATAAATTTTTTGGGTTGGGTTGGTTCGATTTGTTCAAGTCATTTATTGAGCATTTTGTTTTTCGATAAAAGTAAAATGTTAATTTGTAAAATAACTATTTATTTATTTTGGAACCACTCATTTTCAATATATATTTTGAAAAATTACTTTCCAAATAGTTAAAAATTATTTTAAAAGTTAGTTAGAGAATAAATAATAAAAAATAAGTATGAAATTCAATAAAAATAAAATAAGTATATGTATATATAATTGTATAGTAAACAACCATGTTTATTTGAAAATTAA